CTCTCTATTTTGTTCCACTGGTCTATTTGTCCATTCTGATGCCAGTATAGTATTATACTGTCTTGATTACTGTAGCATTACATTGAATCTTGAAACTAGGTAGTCTTCCAAATTTGTTCTTTTTCAAATTATTCTGGTTATTCCAGACCATTTGCATTTCTACATAAATCTTAGAAATGACTTGTCTATTTAATAAAAACATTTGTTAGCATTTTGATAAACCAATTTGCTTTGATCCGGTAAAGAAATGTTAAAAGGTGGCCTACACCTACCCTCCACTGATACCACATCCATTCATTCAACAAGATTTTATCTAGTGTCCACTCTGTGATAGCACTAAAAATATAAAGTCAAAGCATTATGGAGCACAGATTGCTGTTTCAACCTATCATTTCAGTTCTTCATCATTTAAGTAAAATTTACTTATATTATGTCATGAATATACATTTTTTTTCATTTGTTGGGTTCTCTATTTTAAGGATGCTATTTATCCTTATGCTGTATCATAATTGTCTTCCATAATTATTAGGGAGCTCTGGTAACGTAGTGCCTAAGGCATTTGACTGCTAACCAGAAGGCTGGCAGTTCAAACCCACCAGCCACTCCTCAAAGGAAGATTGGTCAATCTACTTCAGTAATTTCAACTATCTTTTTCTTCAGCATTTTCTTTAATTATCTCAAGCTTTTCTTCTGTTACTAACTTTATTTCTAGCAATATCTATTCTCTTTCTTACAGTTTCTAATTTGTTATTAGTTCAGTTATGATATGCTTTCATCCTCAATTTGTTCTCTTAGATCTGTAATGTCGTAAGAGAAGTTTCTTTCTGTTCCTTAATTTTGTTTTCTTCCAGATATGATTTTTTTCTCTTTTTCACATGTGCATTCTCTCTTCTCTCTCTTTCTCTCCCATCACTGCTTCTTTTCTTTTTACTCATGCTCATTCTTGTGGAGCTCTTGCCCCGGTGTTCTATTTTCTTTAAGATAGTATAGATGCAATCTTGACTTGCTTCCAAATCTAAGATTACTTTGCTTTCTATTCTAAATTATATTTTGAGGTTTCTGTATTTCATTGTATCTAATCTTTAGTACCTGAGAGAGAGTGACATAGGAGAACTGGGGAAACTGGAGAGATGAGCAATCTCTGATAGAAAACTTGGACTTTGATCTTTGTTTTAAGATTCTGTAAATTTCTCATTCCAGAATCCACTCCACCTAATTGGAGGTATCTCATTCCCTTGGAGGATACTGTCACACTTTGTAATCGTTTTCCCATTTTACTTCTATGGTCTCTGCCTCTAACAGAAATGGAGATTCTTTTGTATCTAATTCTCCACAATAATTGTTTCCTCTATTCTGGTCAGGAAAGAAAAAAAGAATAGAATTTTTCTTGGTTGTAAAATACGTGAGGAATCTCAGGATTTTGTTGACTTGCAGTAGGGCTTCTGAAAATGTGGTTGTTAGGGGTAAGGGCTGAATCATACTACTTCTCTGCTCTATATCATAATCCTCCTTCCCTTTCTTGGCACCTGATTTTGAAATATATTGCATTATGTTATACCACTTAGGTTGTAGATAATGACTTTGGAGGGGCTGCTTTTTTTACTTTTTCAATTTTGTAAGTGTTTAGGAGGCAATTTAATCAAGTTGAGTAATATTCCCTGTCCATAGTCCTAGGCTCATACTGTCTACTTGACTCATGGCCAAGACATTTCATCCTGCCACTGGTAAAGTCTAAATTCATGATAGAGTATTCAAACAGCTAGTTGCAACATGAAAAAGGATCAGCAGGTGTTGCCCTTGAAGTGTCCTACAAGAATATCTTGTTGGCTAGGAAAGGAGATATTACTTTAACCCTTTACATCTGCTAGCAAACATTTATCTCTTTCAGTGTCTGTGCTCCCTAGAAATCAATGTTCTAATTAGAAAACAATACCCAATCTGGTCAAATGCTAATAAATGAGAGTTGTGATTTATCTAGCTTTTATTTCCTAACCTGTCCCCTTAGCTGACTGGATTCAGCCTTATGCTATAAATAGCCATTCTTATTAATGCCTATCTGTTTAACAGTCATTCTCAGAACCACAGTTTAGGGCCTTTTAACTATAAGATTCATAGACCTTATTCTACTTATCAGTGACAATGAATATTAACATGAATTCAAAGCTGAATCTACCTACTCACAATGACCATATCATATCATAGCCCACCTAGTTACTTTTAAACTTGGTTATAATACATACAGATTTTTCAATAATTATTTCATCTGCTGTGAGAAGTATTAATCATGAATAGGCCAAAATGGTTGGCTAGGCCCTGTTGCACCTCAGTTATTTCATGGAGCTACAGCCTAAAGTCAAAAGTTTATATCAAAGGGATGATTTTACAGGTAACTGAACAAGGTCCTTCAAAAGCCTCCAATAATTACTTTTTTATATTGAATAATTAACTGAGTAATTATCAGAACTCATCATCACTTTAAACTGACTGGACACATTGAAGGAAGAGATTAGTATGTCTAAATAGAACTGAATGGGAGTTTTCTGTATAGAACACTCCCCAGGACTGTCTTTGGGAAATGTTGATCAGTGCTACAGTAAATATGTGTCAGTGGAAAGCTTGTCATTCACAGTAGAATAAGATTATACATGTTAAATATTTTCTTCTAGTGTTTTGTTTAATATTGCCCACTTAGGAGCTCTGGTAGCATAGTGCCTAAGGCACTTGACTGCTAACCAGAAGGCTGGCGGTTCAAACCCACCAGCCACTTCTTGGAAGGAAAATGGGGCAATCTACTTCCGTAGTGATACTGCCTCAGACACCCAAGGAGGGGTCGCTATGAGTCGGGCCCGACTCGATGGCACATAACAACAACAACAAATGTGGTACTCAAGGAGCTCTGGTGGTATAGTGGGTAAGACGTTTGGCTGCTAACCAGAAGTCAGTGATTCAAACCCACCAGCAGCTCCACAGGAGGAAGATGAGGCAATCTACTTCTCTAAAAATGTATAGCCTTGGAAACCCAATGGGGGTTGCTATGAGTTGGAATCAACTCATTGGCAGTGGGTTTGTGGGTTTTTTGTTTTGTTTTGTTTTGTTTTTGGTATTTGATGCTCATGCAAAGCTACTAGCAGGTACCTGACACATTGTCAAGCATTAATTCAAACTGTTCCCCCATGGCTGTCATCCCCTCAAGTCCCAGCTTGCATGTCATCACCACTATTAAGCCCAACCACCACTGCTCCCTCCAACCTGATAGAACTGATTAAACCCTACTTCAGGCCTCCTATACCTGTATATCTTTCCCTTTTATACAAACAATTATTGTCAATCAATTGTTTCTTGTTTATATCTCTCCAAAGATAAGGTCTTATTTGAATCTATAGTGTCCATACACTCATTAAATAAAAGATTGATTATTCAACAACTATTGAGCACTTATCCTTTGCCAATATTTCCCAGAAGTCACAAAGACACAGATTTTATCTCTGTTCTCAAAGAACTCACAAACCAGTGGGGAAAACAAACTCTTATACAACTAAACTCAGCAAACTTCCTGGGCCCATGTTGAGGCTGAGTTACTAGTTGGTGGGTCAGTGGACATATATAAACTCACCATATTTTTATATTTCTCTATGGTTTCATAAGCCAAAGACACTTGTTTCAATCATGTTTACTAATGTCTTACACAAACTCTAAGCGTGTTTTTTGCAAACTAATATACACTAGCAGAGATCTTGGTAAAACGCAGATTCTGATTCAGTAGATGTATGGATAGGCCTGAGTTTCTGCTTTTCTAAAAAGCTCCCAAGGAATGTCTGACCCATAGACCACACTTTGAGTAACAAGTTTAAACAATTGTCATGTTAACATATAAAAATTTTTGTTTCTTAAAAAGTTCCCACTGCTCCCCACCTAGACATTCTATTCACTATAATTAAACATGATGAAACTTATACTAAGAGAGAAATATTCAGCAGTGCTCCAGAAAAAAAATGACAAGACACATCAAACTGTTAGGTCACTGCTTTGCTTGATTGTTGAAACATGTAACGATCTCTGTTCCTGAAATGTAGGTCTGCTGCTACGAGACTATATTCTGAATGTGTAGCAAAATTTTCTCAAGTGTTCGCTTCTCTGCTTAAGTCTTCCTATTTTTAAACCATAATATCGCAGGTCATTTTTGTAAATGGAAATACTTTTAACTAAACTATAAAATTTTAATTACTTTAAATTAAACAATCATAAAGTCAATACTTCTTTAATCTAACTTCTTTGAAGTAAACTCTGCAAGGTTCACATGTAACTATTTTTAACTCTTAATGGTTTCAGTGATGGCGCATGTTAATTTTTTTCAACTCATTAGAGTCTGCCACTCATCATAAAAGTCAAAATTGGACCCTTGATTTCTCATTTGTCCATTTTGAATTCTCTTTTTGCCAAGACAGAATCCCTGCCTAAGCTTTCTTCTCTCATATGTCTTTTTCCTTTCTAATCTATCCCAAACAAAGTGTTTAATTTTTATCTTCTCCCAGTCATATGGAGAAGATGCTACAACTTTTCAGCATAGTGCCTAAAGCATTTGACTGCTAACCAGAAGGCTGGCAGTTCAAACCCACTAGCCACTCCTCAGAAGGAAGGTTGGGCAATCTACTTCCATAGTGATATCGCCTCAGAAACCCAAATAGAGGTCACTATGAGTCAGATCCAACTCGACTGCAGTGAGTTTGGTGTGGTTTTATTCAACCTAACCTTACTACAATAATATGCCATTTAAGAGATACCCTTGATTATTTGGTTTCTCCTTGTACACTTAATCATTGCATCACTTTTTCTAACAACAGGACAGTAAATTAAATGAGAAGTTGAACTGTTTTCATCATGCAGGAAAGATGGAAGGCACTGGAAGCCTTACCTTGACCACTGATAATTTCTTTGCATAGTCTGAAGACTGCTTATCTAAATGAACTTTCTTCTTTCTCACCACTTGTGGCTTCACATAGGTTAATGCCAAAGATGATGAAGGTGTCATTGTCGGATCCTGGGACAATGTCTATGCTTATGGAATCCCTCCATCAGCCTGGACAGGAAGTGTTGACATCCTATTGGAATATCGGAGTTCTGAGAAGCCAGTTCGGTATGGCCAGTGCTGGGTTTTTGCTGGTGTATTTAACACATGTAAGTATTCAATTATCATTAATTTTTAATGTAAAAAAATATGTTATTTCAGGGCTTTTTATCTAAAACCTGGCAAAAAGACCTATCAGTCCCTGTTGGCTTTATAGAATTTATAGTTGAGTATTCTGGGATGTATAGAGGCATTCTGATGGCCAGTGGTTAAAGCATCTGAGTGCTAATCAAAAGGTCAGCAGTTCAAACTCATCAGCCACTCTGTGAGAGATAAACGAGGCAGTCTGCTTCTGTAAAAATTTACAGCCTTGGAAATCCTATGGGGCAGTTCTGTTCTGCTCTATATGGTGGCTATGAGTTGGAATTGACTCAATGACAGTGGGTTTTGTTTATTTTCTAGAATGTAATCAATTCATAATTAAATTATACTGTGTCAAATATGCTCATAATTTCTTTTTGACTGCAAAATTTTTACAGAAAGAGTAATGAAAATACATCACTAAACACCCAGAGAAGTGGAGGGTCACAAAGGCCAAATAAGAATATGGGAAAATGATAGACATTTTCTTTTCAGTCACATCCACATTGTAAAAATGTCTAAATATTAAATTTTAAATAATAACTAATAAACATTACTAATAAACAATAGCTTCTTTTTTAAGAGGTTTTATAAATGTGGCTATTTGCACATTGTTTGTTGTTGAAAAGTTTTGTAAATATATCTTCCTAATTTTTATTCCAGCTATGGAATGGGTCATGGCAGGTGGTCTCTTCTCCATTTTTACATAAATGAGTCTCAATGCCCCTGAGCAATTAGATATTAGAACCTAATAAACAACCTGTCCCTTGCCCATTTCCCTGCTGATCTTTAATCCACCCAACGTCCAATTTATAGGGGAAAACATATGGGACTAGAATGACTCTCTTCTGTGTCATGTATCATTTTTCAAAATGACATTCACCTCTTTAGGCCCAGACAGTGTTATAGTTAATTTAGTGAATGTTTTTAAAACTGCATTTATTTTAGTATGCTTTCATCCTTGATAATGATTTTCATTCACATGCCATTTCTACAGCCTTGGAGAAAACATTAAGCTCTACTGTGAATTTCCCTTCTGCCTACTTGTTAATAAAGAATATTTAATCTAGTTACTAGTTTTTAAATCAGGAAAACCAAATAGGGGCTTGAGGTCAGGGTGGGGTCATTTTTTAAAATGTCTGTGAAATCTATCAATTCCAGTTCAAATTTGCAACAGCCTAAGAATTAGTAAGTGATTCAAGTGGAAAACAACCATTAAGTTTTGTTTTGTTTTTTTCCCATGACATCAAGCTGAGTAAAATTATATTCTTATCCATTTTAGCATATCCAAGACCTAAAATAATATATATTTCCTGGGAACAATAAAAAGGAGCTCTGGTGGCACTGTGGTTAAGGCATTCAGCTGCTGATCAAAAGGTCAGTGGTTCAAACTCACCAGCCACTGCACAAGAGAGAGATGAAGCAGTCTGCTTCTGCAAAGATTTACAGCCCTGGAAACCCTGTTGTATAGAGTCACTATGAGTTGGAATTAAATTGATGGCAAAAGGTTTTTGGAAGAATAAGAAAAGCCAAAAATACTAATCTAGAAATGCTGGTCTTTGAAATCCTAGATGGAAGTCTGAGCTTCATGGTGGGCTAAGTGTAGGAGGTAGTTCCCTTTCCTCAAGGGTCTCAAGCCAAGACTATGTGGAAGCTGCTTGATGCTGGCAGCTGCTCTTGAGAAGTGATTTCAGAAAAACAGAAAGAACTTTCTAAGTCTCCAAGTTCTCCTTCTGCCTGAAGTTTCACCATCCAGTGTAATTCCTCTGGGTTTGGAACCGTATAAAATAGTAAACAGCTTACATTCATTCATGCTTTTTGTATCAAAGGGTCATGAAATCTGTTCCTGAAAATTAGCTTTGCTGACAAGTTAAGGAAAGGTAGAAGCACACATTGGAGAAGTCAAAAGGAGAATAAACTTGAAGAGGGAAATTGGAGGAGGAGGTACAGTGCCTCCAAGTCAAGCTTCACCTCGCCTACAATAAGGAGTTAGACAAACTCAGGAACAATGGTTCTTATTCAGTAATAATGTAAATTTGTGTTAAGCCAGCAATAGAACTGGAGTAGCAATTATTGCATTGGGAAAACTATGACATGAATGTTGTTCCTGTTGTTGTAGTGGCTGTGGTTGTTAGCTTCCATCTAGTCAGCTCCCGACTCATGGTGCCACATGCACAATGGAATGAAATGCTGCCCAGTCCTGCTACAACTCCATGGTTGGTTGCAGATCAGCCCATTGTAATCCACTTGCTTTTCATTGGCTGATTTTCAGAAGTAGATTGCCAGACCTTTCTTCCTAGTTTGTCTTAGTCTGTAAGCTCCACTGAAACCTGTTCAGTATCATAAAACAACCAAGTGTCCAATGACTTATAGGTGGTGACTGAGCTTGAAGTGCACTGGCAGGGTATTGAAGCTGGGTCCCCTACATGGAAGTTGAGAGTTCTACCACTCTGACATGAATAACTGATTGCTGTCAAGTTGATTCTGACTCCTAGAGACCCATTAGAGCAAAGTAGAACTGCCCATAATGTTTCCAAGTCTGTAAATCTTTGTAGGAGCAGGATGCCACACCTTTCTCCCATGGAGCAGCTGTTGAGTTCAAACCACCAACCTTTTGGTTAGAAGCTGAGTGCTTAAACACTGTGCTATTAAGGCTCTCTCTGGCAAGAATGTCAGTGCTGGATTGTTAGGTGCCCTCAAGTCAGTTCCAACTCACAGCAGTCTTATGTACAACAAAATGTGCCCAATCCTGCACAATCTTCACAATTGTTGCCATGTTATACTCCATTATTGCAGCCACTATGTCAATCCATCTCCTTGAGGATCTTTTCATGTTTCATTGACCCTCTACCTTACCAAGTGTGATGTTCTTGTATAGGGATTGGTCCTTCCTGAAAACATGTCCAAAACACTTGAGAAGAAGTTTCATCATCCTCATTTCTAAGGATCATTCTGATTGTACTTCTTCTGGCAGTCCATGATATATTTAATCATGATATATTTGATGTTGATATATTTCATCAACACCATAATTCAATTGCATCAATTCTTCTTCATCTTCCCTATTTGGTGTCCAGATTTTGCATGCACATAAGGCAATTGAAAATACTATGGTTTGAGTCAGGTGCACCTTAGTCCTCAAAGGGACATCTGTAAGTTTTAACACTTTAAAGAGATCTTTTGTAGCATATTTGCCTAATGCAATATGTCATTTGATTTCTTGACTGGTGCTTCCATGGGCATTGATTGTGTATCCAAGTAATATGAAATCTTTGACAACTTCAATCTTTTCTCCATTTATCGTGATGTTTCTTATTCGTCCAATTGTGAGGATTTTTATTTTCTGTAGATTGAAGTCTAATCCATAATGAAGGCTATAGTTTTTGATCTTCATCAGGAAATGCTTCAAGTCCCCTTCACCTTCAGCAAGCCAAGTTGTGTCATCTGCATATCACAGATAGTTAATAAGTCTTCCTCCAATCTTGATGTCATGCTTTTCTTCATAACAATGCAGCTTCTAAGGTTACTTGCTCAACATAAAGACTGAATAGGTGTGGTGTAAGTATGTAACCCTGATGCTAATCTTTCCTGATTTGAAAAATTGCAGCTATCCCTTGTTCTGTTTGAACAACTGCCTCTTGATGTATGTACAGGTTCCTCATGAGAACAATGAAGTGTTCTGCAATTCCTATTCATCACAGTATTATCTGTAATTTGTTATGATCCACACGGTTGAATGTCTTGGCATAGTCACTAAAACACAGGTAAACACCTGACATGAATGTTGTTGTCAGGTGCCACTGAGTCAACTCCAACTCATTGCGACCCTATGCACAGCAGAATGAAACATTGCCTGGTCATGCGCCATACTTGCAATCCTTGCTGTACCTGAGCCCATTGTTTCAGCCACTGTGTCAATCCATCTTGTTGAAGGACTTCCCCTTTTTTGCTTGACCCTCCACTTTACCAAGCGTGATATCCTTCTCCAGGGAATGTTCTCTTCTGGCAACATAACCAAAGTAGGTGAGATGAAGTCCTGCCATTTCTCGCTTCCAAGGAGCATTCCAGCTGTACTTCTTTCAGGACAGATACGTTATTTCTTCTGGCAGTCTATGGTAATTTCTGGCATGAATATGGGGCTATAAAGCAATAGAGTGAGGAAGATGAGAATGGTAAACATGTGGTGGTGGCCATTGTTTTTTGGGGTGTTAAAATTAAGTCATTATAGGAGGAGGACACTTGAGTCTCTAGCAGACTCAAGTGCTGACTTGCAAGGTTATTCTGTTGAAGGAGGTGGGTAGTTTTCTGTTAAAAATGCTAAACTATTCTGAGAAAAAAAAGCAAGCCAAGTCATTAATCTTACAATTGTCAGCTGAATTATTTTCAACGAGACTTGATGGCTGGAGTCCTGAGAGCCAGGGAGGGCGTTTGAATTAAATTTAATCAATATGTACATATGGGAAGAGATGCATCCAGATAATTTATTATCTAACAAGTAAAATGAATCTGGGGTGTCACCCTCCACTGAGTGCCATGTAAGCAAACTCTAGTCCTAAGAGCAAACCCCACTAAGGACTTGCCTTGTAAATTCCTAATTTCCTATTAACTGTTTTATATGTTCGTTTTCAGGAACATAGTCTCATTAGCCTGACTAAAATTAATACCACTTCTATGACTGTGCGATTAGAAACCAAAAAATGAGAACCCTGTTATTGTGATTTTATTCCAGTTGGCTTCTTTGGCGCCAGCTACGGTTTTGGACAATCACCCTCATGGTTTCTCTCTGAACCCTCATGCTTTATAACAAACCCCTTCATTCAGTATGAAACCTTTGAGGACAAGATGTGCAAAGGGAACTTTCATGTTGGTAAAGAGGAAATTCCCTTACAAGAAGGGAGTTTACTACGTATTTATTAATTTTGATGATGTCTTAGTTTGTGGTTTGCCTTTCTTCCCTGCAGTTTTGCGATGCCTTGGGATACCAGCAAGAATTGTTACCAATTATTTCTCAGCCCATGATAACAATGCCAATTTGCAAATGGATATCTTCCTGGAAGAAGATGGGAACGTGAATTCCAAGCTCACGAAGGATTCAGTGTGGTGAGTATGAGTTATAAGGTCATTTGCTGATATCAAATTAAAGTGATATGACACATTTACCACAGGATAGACTCAGTCTAATGTTTTTTTCCCTTCTATTTCAAGGACTGTTTGATGCCACATGTAAAAAAAAAAAAAAAAAAGTCTGATTGTCAGAGATTGTTTTTAGCTAATGAATTAGAAATGTTACTGAACAAGCAGTTTGGATTCCTAGGAATAAAGATTGATCATCCCATTACAATGGCAACCACTAAAAAAAGGCCATGGTTTTAGCTGCTAGCTGTGCCTACACTAATTCCTCTCTACCTTAGAATATTAATGTTATGGTTGATGGCACAGGTAGCAAAGCCAAGCTTTCTCTGTGTCTGTGCCCTAAGAGTAAAATAGATCACAATTTTTAAGCAAGTACCAGTCTCCACTATCCGTCTGTCAGTTTGTCCTACTGTGGTGGCTTGTCTGTTACTATGATACTAGAAGCTATGCCATCAGTATTCCAATACCAGCAGGGTCACCCAAGGTGAACAAGCTTTAGCAGTACTCCCAGAGTAAGACCAACTAGGAAGAAAGGCTTACTTATTAACTTCCAAAAATTAGCCAAGGAAAATCGTGTGGGTCACAACTGAACATTGTCCAACTCATTTGCTTTGGGTATATTATCAGAAAAGACCAATTGCTGGAGACGGACATCAGATTTGGTGAAGTAGAGGGCCAATGAGGATGAGCGAGAACCTTGATGAGATGGATTTGCACATTAGCCCCAACAATGAACTTGAAGATGCTAGTAATTGTAAGAGTGGTATAGGACTGGGCAATGTGCCATTCTTTTGTACATAAGGCTGCCATGAGTTGGAGTCATCTCTATCAACAACAACAAGGCATCAGTCTCTGGGTGTATATGATGTTATTTAATTTTTTTAACAGTTTTCTCAGGTGCTATAAATACAACCATTTTACAGATGAGTAAACTGAGACCCAGATAAGTTAAAATAAGTCTCATGGGCATATATCTGATAGAATAGGAAAAGAACCAAGATCAATCTGAGCTTTAATCACAACTCTGTTTTGTCTTTTCAGTATTTCATTATCTTTTGAATGTAAAAATGTTGTTCTCCTTGATTTGTGCCCTCACATTTCATTCACAGATAGAAATAGAAATAAAGTTGAACTTGTTACCAAATACTAACTTTTACTGTCCTGTACGGTTCTTTTACTGTCCTGAGCAGCTGCACCATAAGTTGGCTAGACAGAGTTTAAGGTATCAGAGAAATATCCTTTCTCCATGTGACCCCCTCCATCCAGAACAATATACCAAAAAGAGGGAAAAAATCCTAAGAGTCCAAATTGAAGGGATATTTACAACAGTCTGTATTGGTGGAAATTGGAGCATAATTCCAACTGTTGCCAGGAATTGAACTAGATGGAATTTCCAAGCCAAAGATATGTCCCATAAGGTTGTTCTTTACAAGTAATAAAGCTAAAACACTGTCAGTTGTAAAAGCATCCAAATGGGGATGATAGGAAGTTATAAGCTCATTTTAAGAGAAATTAAAAGTTAGAAGTGTCTTAACTCCCTTGCACTATAGGAATGGATAATGATTGTAGGAACAGTATTAACTCGCCAATACCAGTAAACGCTCATTTGAGAATGTTGAAAGATAGAAATCGCTGAACTAGTAGCAAAGTGCTACTATGAATAAAACATAGTGCAGTTCATTTGAAGGGAATGAGCTGAGCAGTGGTAAGCTGGAGAATTTGGGCAAGAGAAAACCTCACCTCTGTAAATTGAATAGCAATTTAAAGAACCACTTAAGCCCAGGGAACTACAGTATAGTGGCCCTGTGTGTATATGGAATGACAAAAACAGACCAAAATAGCTGCCTTAAAGCCCATTGTGACAGTCTGAAATGGAAAAATGAGATTTATTTCGCATTCTCCATGCCGTATCTCTTTCTTACACACACACACACACATGCACACACACACACACACACCAATGCCTTTGCAGCCAGCTGCAATTCTTCCCTGTTCCTTTATCCAAATACCCACCATCATAAATCCTCATTGGGCACCCCAACAAATAATTCTACTAGACCCTAAGTAAAATTGATACACAATTGTGAAACTGATAAATCTTGCCTTTGATAACCCTTTCCCCTTCAGCTCCCTGTTGAACTCTGCTTCCTTTCCTTGTCCCTGACACCCTTTGAATCTTGCATGCCTTCCTCAAATATACCATCACCCTAGGACTATTTCCCTTGGTCCAAGACCATAACCTATCCTCCACTACTCAATCCACTGCCCTAGACCTCTCTCCTCTCCTGTTGCTCTGCACATAATAGGTTTTCAATATATGAGATGACTGATTAACTAATGAATGATAACTGCTGTCTCACCCTGAAACACTCCCAAACAATCAAGCACAGTCATTCAGGGGATGTGTCAGCTCTGGGTTCAAGTCCTAGCTCTGCCGCTTACCGGCTCTGTGACCTTGGGCAAGACACAACTTCTCTGTGCTTCTTTATCCTCCTCTAAAGTGGAGACAACAAAATTTCCTACCTCGCTCAGCACAGAACTGAGTATAACAGGTGTCTAATGAATGTGAGCTGTTCTAATTGCCTTAGTTATTAGTCTCCCAGCTGGAGTTTGTAGCAGTGAAATTCTTAGACGCAATATGTTGCCATCCACCTAAGCACATTGAGCAGGCAGAAAGAGAGATGCCCGGTGTCCTAAGATGACTATGCTATTTCTGTAACACTGGGGTATTTTTTCAATAAAGCATAAACTTGCCTCCACTGTGCAAACACTGGGGTACCTTAGAAGTTATAGCTGCTGCAGGAAACCAAAAGTGTTCCTGATGCCCTTCTTGACTGAAGAAGTTGGGGGATTGTCCCTGGACACATCGTCTAGTATAAGGTCCCCACAGTCATACCCCATGTCAAGCTTTGGCTTAGGCAAGTACTTGCTCTGTGACCTTGAGTATATGACTTCCCCTATCTAAACTTCAGTTTCCTCCTCAGCAGAATGAAGACAATCTTTGCAGCTACCATATATTGATGGAGTAGTTATGGTGATTAGTGAGGTAATCCAGGTAAATTATACTGACCATAGTGCTAGGCTCAGAGGGAGTGCTCACTGGGGCTGCTGAGAAAGATCATTATTGGAAAGAAACAGGGCTGCCTGAGCTGTAGGTTTGGAAGAGTGAAAGGGGCAGGGATCATTAGACTGAACAGGGCTTAGGTGAGAGAATGACAGGGTGGGCATCAGATGACCAACCTTGAGAAGTCAGTTTGGTGTAAGCTAGCAAAACATGACCTAATGAATTTCCTGGCAAGGGTCTCAGAAGCAATTAGCTTCATCCAAGCCCCAGAGACTCACTTCTGTCCTTGGGCTCCAGACAAGTGAACCACCCAGGGTTTTTCTCTCTCTGGATTTGTGTATGGTTCCTATTCTCATGTCACCTCCTTTCCTTCTTCAGGCCTACCTCCCTCTCCCTCTCTTTCAGAGCATCCATCCTCCACAAAACCTTTCTGAGTTCATCCATCTCATTTTACTCTCTTTGGCCTCTACTATCTCTTCACCATTTTAATCTACATCATACATGGTTTTTGGTGAATTAATTTGTCTTGTTAGATCTTGGCTTCCCAGACCTCCTCTCCTCCATGTCTCAGCCATATTGCAGCGTGCCAGAAGCTGAACCAAGTAGTACCTAAGAGACAGAGGGAGAGGAATCTGGGAGAGAGGAGTACTCAATGCACTCGAGCCAAAACAGACCCACTGGGATTTCATCCTTTTCTCTGACTTTCCTCCATTATTGTCACAGAGATTATTTTCCTGCTTCCTGTTTGCCCCTTAGAGCCTCTGTTGTTGAAGTACCCACTCTCACAGAGAGACAGTGGTGGTTCTGTAGTACAATTTTCGCCTCCCATACAGGAGACCCAGGGTTTGATTCCTAACCAATGCACTTCGTGCACAGCCATCAACCTGTCTGCCAATGGAGGCTTGTAGGATACTGTGATGCTTAGCAGATTTCAGCAGAGCTTCCGGACTAAGACAGACCAGGAAGAAAGGCCTAGTAACCTACTTCCAGATATCAGCCAATGAAAATCCTGTGGACCACAATTATCTGATCCACAAGCAATCATGAGGATGGAGCAGGACTGGACAGCATTTCATTCCATAGTACATGGTGTCATCATGAGTTGGGGCTGACTCCACAGCAGCTAACAACAACTCTGCCTTAGAACGCTGAAAGTGCCATTCCTCATGGGGCATGATTTTTCACAAAGTATCTTCAAAGCTTAGGGTCCTTAGTGAATCAGACAGGGAGGAGCAAGGAGCACTAGAAGGTACGTACCACTGAGGAAAGAGTCATGGACCTCAGAATAGCAATGCAAGATAACATCTCCTGGCAGGAGCAGTGTAAGCTACATGTCCCCAGTGTGCTGATGGGCACTGAGTTTTGTGTCATCTCTTGGGTAGTATCTGTGAATCACCATGGACATTTTAATGGAGATGCTTGTTCAGTGTTCAGCTGTAGTCAAAACATTGAGTAGGGATATGAAGGCCTCTTGAGGAGGGATGACCAGAGCTCACTCAGACAGGCAGGGGAACACTGAAGGATTGGTCTCAGCTTGGAACAGCTCAGTTTGGCCTTCTCACTATATGAAAGTCTCGGTAGATATTGAACCAATTGTAAAAGAAAGGGCTGATGGTACCTACTAGGGTTATGAAAGATATTTATTTCAGTGAAAGGTTTCCTTCCATCTAATGAAGATGCTATTCTATGTCTTCTGCTTGAGAAGACATCATAAGTTTTGTGATTCTATGTGGAGAAATTGTGCTCACCTCTTGGTTTACATGTTGGTCTTGCCCCATGAGAATGCATCTCATCTTGGGGGAGCCATGTCTTATCTGTTTTTGTTTTTCCAGCCTGTAACAGAGTGCAGGGCATGGTGAAGGCACTTTTAACAATGGTACTACTTTTTGGAAAAAAATGTCAA